GTCTCGATGATTGTAACATCGGGATGAGCTTATATCTTAAAAAATGTCAATAGCTCTCAAGATGACCTTGTATCTTGAAAACTATTGACATTTTTAAAGATATAAGCTCATCCCGATGTTACACTCATCGAGACCTTTCATTTGAGTACACACATCAATTTTTCATATATTTTATATATTTATATATATTATATATATGTATATATGAAAAATATATCAAAAATGCATCTGGGTACTTAAATAAAAGCTCTCGATGAATGTAACATCAAGATGAGCTTATATCTTTAAAATTGTCAATAATTAAGAACTGATATTGCTATCTTGTTAACCACTGACATTTTTAAAGATATAAGCTCACTCTAAGGTTACACTCATCAAGACCTTTCATTTGAGTACCCACATCAATTTTTCATATATTTATGTATATTATATATATGTATATATGAAAAATATATCAAAAATGCAAGTGGGTACTTGAATGAAAGCTCTTGATGAGTGTAAGATCGAGATGAGCTTATATCTTTAAAAATGTCGATAATTAAGAAATGACCTTGTATCTTGTGAACTATTGACATTTTCAAAGATATAAGCTCATCCTAACATTACACTCATTGTGACCTTTCATTTGAGTACCCACATCAATTTTTCATATATTTTATATATCTATATATATTATATATATATATATATGATAAATATATGAAAAATTGATGTGGGTACTCAAATGAAAGCTCTTGATGAGTGTAACATCGGAATGAGCTTATATCTTTAAAAAGGTCAATAGTTAAAAAAGTACAGTGTAATTTAACAAAAATCATATAGTGACTACAAGGTTGCTACTAATAATAATCACAATATTTTTTTTTTCACAAAAAATGGAGCGATCATTCTGGGGATGCTTGTTTATCAGGAAAATTGTGAGGGTGGATAATTTTTAATTTATAATAATTTCAATAAAATAACATGAATTTTTTATCATCATTTTTTCTAATTACCATATTGTTATACTGCTCAATTGACAATTTTTTTTTTTTTTCGGTATACAAATAAAATAAAAACTTAAATCACACACATTCACATTTATTTTTTCATCTCAAGCCTTTGTCTACAATTAATTTTTTATTTTCTATAGCTCAAATATTATTCAGTTAGATGAGATGAAATTGACAGTAATGATATAGTTTAAATTTATTTTTTATATTTACATAGACTTACACTCCATTTATTAAATAAAAAAATGGATCAATATTTGTTTTTTTTTTTTTAAAAAGTTCGGAGAAATTTTTTCCTTCTATTTATACAATTCATTATTATTTTACCAAATAAACTCTAATGCAAAAAAATAAAATTAATATATAAAAAATTATTTTTTTTTTTGTCATTCAGCGGATGAATATTCATTTTAAAACTAACTTTATGAAAAAATAATAATTTCGATTTTTGTTAAAAGTAATTTAAAGAATATTTACTATAAAATTAATTGTTTTGTTTTTTTATAAGTCAAGTATAGTAAATATTTTTTACATTAATTAATTAACATTACTTTTAAATCTTTTTCTCCCTTATTTAATTAATTTTTTTTTTTTAATTTTACTTTAGTTAATATTATGTCTCTCATCAATCAATAATTAATTGTTTGGGTTGCTCCCAAGAGAAACCATCACGGCCGAAATGACCGTACGTACTAGTTTGTTGATAAATTGGATGACGTAAGTTCAATTCTCTGAAAGTAAAAAAAAATAGAAAAATTAATTAGTAAAATAATTAAAACATTTCTAAAAAAATTAAATTATTTATAATAAAATAATTGAATCAACAGCAACCTTGCAGTCACTATGTGACTGCCTTGACTTGTGAACTTTAATGACTTTTGTTAAATTGCACTGTACTTTCTTAAATATTGACTTTTTTGAAGATATAAGCTCATCCTGATGTTATACTCATCTAGAGCTTTAATTTGAGTACCCACATGCATTTTTGATATATTTTTCATATATACACATATATATAATATATATAAATATATGAAATATATGAAAAATTGATGTGGGTACTCAAATGAAAGGTCTTAATGATTGTAACATCAGGATGAGCTTATATCTTTAAAAATGTCAATAGTTTACAAGATATAAGGTCATTTCTTAATTATTGACATTTTTAAAGATATAAGCTCATCTTAATGTTACACTTATTAAGAGCTTTAATTTGAGTACCCACATGCATTTTTGATATATTTTTCATATATACATATATATAATATATATAAATATATAAAATATATGAAAAATTGATGTGGGTACTCAAATGAAAGGTCTCAATGAGTGTAACATCAGGATGAGCTTATATCTTAAAAAATGTCAATAGTTCACAAGATACAAGGTAATTTCTTAACTATGTATCTAGAAATTTTTTATTTTTCTATACTTACTTTACTATTTTACCAGGTCGAAGATCAAAGTTTTTATTAATAATTCCCAAAAGTTCATTTTGTCCCAATTTAGAGGTTCCATAGTCAAAAACAGTAATAGAGAGAGGTTCTGCGACACCAATCGCGTAAGATACTTGTACAAGGCAACGCCTGCAGAGTCCAGCTTTAACTAGAGACTTGGCAACCCATCTTGCAGCGTATGCTGCTGATCTGTCGACTTTGGTAAAGTCTTTTCCTGAAAAAGCACCACCTCCGTGAGCACCCCATCCTCCGTAAGTGTCGACTATTATCTTTCTGCCGGTAAGACCAGCATCACTCTAAAAATAATAAGAAAATTTTATTAAAAAAAAAAAAAAAAAAATAATTAATTGAAATTTAATATTAAAATAAAAAACAAGCTTTGAAAGTTTATATATTTTTTCTACAAATTGTCATACTCAGGATTATTTTTTCACATCATGGCACTCAAGAGTAGCAAATACTAATATAAAACATCATTGAATGACAATTAGTAATTAGTAAAAAAAAAAAAAATTTTTATATGCAATTCAAATTAATTGTTAATTTTTAACAATTTTTTTTTATAAAAATATTTTTGTCAAAAAAATTTGAATTTAAAATAAGATTTTTAATTTTTACTGTTAATTAATTTAATAAAAATTGTAACTACTAATTATTAAATTAATTTAGTCAATGTACCTGTGGTCCACCAATGATGAAATTACCGCAAGGATTTACATGGAAAACAGTTTTCTCATCAAGGTATTTAGAGGGGATTACGTTCTTGATAACGTCACTCATAACAATTCTACGTAATTCGTCAAGTGTTATTTTTTCGCTGTGTTGAACTGATACAACGATTGTGTGAACCCGGATTGGCACACATGCACCATTTTCCATTATGTACTCGCAGGTCACCTGAAAAAAATAATTTAAAAATAGTATTAATAATAAATTCTTATTCTTATAAATTATAAATGAAAATTTTGTCTAAAGGACTCAGATTATTTTGAATATCATGGCATTCAATAGTAGCAAATAAACAAACATCATAGTCTTTTAAAATATAATTAAAAATTTTTTTTAGTACAATATTAAAATTATTTTTTTTTAAATAATTAATTTTGTTAAATTGCACTGTACTTTCTTAAATATTGACATTTTTAAAGATATAAGCTCATTCCGATGTTACACTCATCAAGAGCTGTCATTTGAGTACCCACATGCATTTTTGATATATTTTTCATATATACATATATATAATATATATAAATATATGAAAAATTGATGTGGGTACTCAAATGAAAGGTCTCGACGAGTGTACTATCGGGATGAGCTTATATCTTCAAAAATGTTCATTTTTTACGAGATACAATGTCATTTCTTCATTATTGACATTTTTAAAGAGATAAGCTCATACTGATGATATACTCATCAAGAGCTTTTATTTGAGTACCCACATGCATTTTTGATATATTTTTCATATATACATATATATAATATACATAAATATATAAAATATATGAAAAATTGATGTGGGTACTCAAACGAAAGGTCTCGATGAGTGTAACATCAGGATGAGCTTATATCTTTAAAAATGTCAATAGTTCACAAGATACAAGGTCATTTCTTCATTTTGTTTATCATCTTAATAATATAGATGAAAATTATTGTTTTTTTTTTTTTTTTTTTTTTTTTTTAATATTTGTCAATGTTTTGTATTAAAATTTCAAAGCTCAATTTTTATTATTTCTAAATTAAACTTACTTGTGTTTTAGAATCAGGGCGAGCCCACCAAAGCTCTCCACTTCGTCTTAATTCAGCAATTTTTTGATTCAATCTGTGGGCCAAAACTACAGTAAGTGGCATACACTCTTCAGTCTCATCGGTTGCATAGCCAAACATCAGTCCCTGTATTTAAAAAAAAAAACCCAATTTATTATTATTATTATTATTATTATTATTATTATATAAATTCAAAATTAAAAAAAAAAATAAAAATTTATAAGCAATAAAAAAACGTGCTTAAATGTGCCTTTTTTTACAGAGCAAAATAAAAAAAACCCACATCATGCAATTCCCTTTTTTGTCAACCACCATGTTAAGAAAAATAATTAAAAATTCCAAACTTAATAAATAATACCTTTTTAATAGTGTTGCAAGAAACCATAAAATATAAACCATAAGTACGATTAAATAATAAATTTAATAAATTTATTTAATAAATAAATTTATTAAATAAAAATAATAAATCGAGAAAAGTGTCTACACCAACAGAAAAAAGAGAGAATAACTCAAAAACTACTAATTAATTAATAATTGACCTGATCGCCTGCACCAACTTCTTCATCGTTACGATTAATGTGTACTCCCGCAGCGATATCTGGCGATTGTGCATCTATTGCCAACAAGACGTTGCAAGTTTTATAGTCAAAACCTGTTGAATAATTTAAATATCAACCCAACTGTTACACTGATACACCCAACTGAGAGAATAGTTTATTTAAATCAAATTTTATTATAAATAAATATGTTATTTAAATACCACCCAATATTCTACACAAATAAATTTATTTGGGACTAATATATGGTTTAATATTCAGTCTACTTATTTTAATTAAATAGTAATTTGTTGATTCTATGACTCTATATCCGCGAACAAAATATCTTTAGGACAAAGTAATTAAATTTAATTATCGACACTAATTATCAACAATTATAAAAAAATTTTTTTGATTATAATTAGGCAACTATAATCTTATACAATACTATTACAAATTTGAAATTACATTGAGCGTTTTATCATTAATACCGACATTTATAACACGGATTAGTACTTGTAAATGAACAATAAAAATGTTTTTTTTTTTTTTTAATATAAGGTAAAGTACCCAGTAGTTGAACAGGTTTCAAAGTAAAACGTATTTGACCCTACTTTTAATATATAAAGATGTAATTATTAGTTCAAATTAGTGATTTTCATGAAAATATAAACAATTTTGAATTAATTGAAGTGCAAAATAACGAAAATAATTGAATATTTATAATTTGACAACGTTTTTAAGATAGACTATGAAAGAAGTAGTAGTTGAACAATCAATTCTGACAAGCCTTAGTAGTTGAACACTCCGGGAGCAGTAGTTGAACTAATAAAATATATGGCAATAGGCACACCAAAATTTTTAACGTTAAATTGAAATATTCAAAGATTTATAATATATTATTGAATAATATTAAAAATAACACTGTGAATATTTAATATGTTCATTTAAAAATGATAAATATTTGTATTTAATTTATTAATTACATTTTTTATGAATGACAAAGTAAATTTGTCAATTATAAATCAAAAAAACTCAATTCAAAACGTTCAATAGTTTTTAACCATACTAATTTTTAATTATATAACTTATTTAATTTGTAGTAATTAATACAAATCACAATACTGATCACTAGTCTATAAACCTATTGAAAGTTAGAGTGCTGTTAAAATTATACGGTTCCAGCTTGTTCAAGTTCTGGGTACCGCTTTGAAAATTGGGAGGTATAGTTGAACGCTAAAATTTAATATAAAAATTATAGTTTATGGCTTTGCAAAAAATATGTATTATTTAGAAAATACTATTTCATTGGGTGGTACAATTTTTTTCACTTAAAATGATGATATACCGTTTTTTTTACTGATTGTTCGGTTTACGGTTTAGTACCTTTTTCATGAAAAAAATAGCATCTATCGGTTATTCTCGACATGTCAACTTTAAAGTTAACAAAAATGTAATTGTTTTGATTTATAATTGAAAAAAACTTACCAAAATCAATTTCTGTATCATTGAATATTGATAGCAACCGCATATTACTCATAATATATATGGGGCATTCCATGCCAAATCGACCACTTTTGACACCGACTCTTTTCGATTTTTCTGAAATTTTGGTATCTTTCTTTACCCTATTGAAAACAATTTTCAGAATTTTTTCAAATTTTTTTACCTAACCAAAAAAAAATTACAAGTTATTACAAAAAAAACAGCTTTTTTTTGTTAAATAACCATAACTTTTTTGAAAATTGACTTTTTGGAAT